CGACCCGGGTCTGGAGAGTCTGGCCGGACTCGCCGGGTTTCCGATTGCGTTCAAAGGAGCCCGAAGGCCGGAAACCCTGAGCTGGGCTTTGAAAGCCCCGTCCGGCCGTTGGCTGTCGGCTGTCGGGCTGCTCCTGCGCTGGGCCAGGGTCCCCGCAGCGGCCTCCTCCTGTTCAACCTGCTTCTAGCTCCAGCCGGCACATTTCCTTTTAATGTTTGTTCTGGTGCGGGTTTTGCTCCAGGGTTCGAGGTTTTCTCCTCCATGAGCAGGCCTTTCCCGGGCAGGGCAAAGGCGAGGGGCTGCCTCCGGTCCTGGGCAGCCCACTAGTGCGAGGCACTCGCCTGGCCTCTCGGCCGCCTGGGCTTCGCTGCCCTTCGTTTGGAGGAGGGATTCCTTCCACCCGGCGGCAGGGCAGGGCCGCCTGGAGCCTCCTAGGGCTCAGCCCTCCTGTCCCGCAAACCGGGAGGAAGAGGCCTGGGTCCTGGGAAGCTATGCAAAGTGACAGCCGTTGGGTCCTGCTGCTGGGGTTACAGGGCCCCCGATCAAGGAGGATGTGGGCAAGGCCCGTCTCACCCCACCCCAAACCTGAGGAGGGTGGTGGAGGGGCGGCTTTTTCAGAATTCCCAACAAAGTCCTGCTTGCTTCCTGACGGTGAGGGCTCAAACACAAGCTCCCGGACCCTTAGACGCCTGGACTTCCCAGAGGGAAGTGTCTAGATTTTTGCCCCTGACCCTGGGGCATATCCTTCGGGGCAGGCCCTGGGACCCTGGCATTCAGGGACTAGAAGTGGGAAGGAGAGGGCCCTCTGTAGGAGGTATCATCTCTCTTTTGTTCAGGATTTTTAAAATAGTAAATTCTGCCCTCCCCCCTTTCCCTTTCTTCTGCAATATGTATGTGTGTACCTGTACGTGTGTGGCTAGATATGGAGGTGTCCCTGAAAACCTGTGTGCATCTGAGACCATGTGCATGAGTACCTACCTGGTTTTGTGTACCTCTACACCTGTGTCGTGCACCTGGGTGTTCATGTCTCTGTAATTAGATGCACACTTGGATGTCTGAGCAGCTTACAGTGTGTACTCATGTGCTCATTTGTGTTACACACCAGGATGTTTGTTTGTGTGTGTGTGTGTGCACGCGTGTGTTGTGCACACGCGCGTGCATGGGAACTCTGTTTCTATATACTTCCTTTGGGCTTCTTTCCTGTTGTTTTTGCAGGACTGATTTTGGGAGAAGTAAGAATGGCCAGTCATGTTGCCTCTTTATAAATTCCCCCTGATTGAAGCCTATGTCTGGGGAAGTGACCGTGCTAGGCTCCAGGTCCAGAAAGCCTACGTGCGTGTGTTGTGCACACGCGCGTGCATGGGAACTCTGTTTCTATATACTTCCTTTGGGCTTCTTTCCTGTTGTTTTTGCAGGACTGATTTTGGGAGAAGTAAGAATGGCCAGTCATGTTGCCTCTTTATAAATTCCCCCTGATTGAAGCCTATGTCTGGGGAAGTGACCGTGCTAGGCTCCAGGTCCAGAAAGCCTAGGAACCCTGCAAGTTGCTGCTCCAGGCTTGAGGGCTAGGTGTTTGGGGGCCTGGAGTTGGAGAGCGCATTTGACATTGCCATAGGCTCCCAACGTATTGCAGTTAATCTCTTCCTTCTATCCCTTTCACACCCAATCCTTGTATGAAGAGTTGGGAGCAGTGAAATGGGCCTTTTTTGGGTGGGCTCAGGTGAGTGGTTTTCTGGTGGCTGGAAGTACATATTTTATTTTCCTTGGGGGAGAGGGGAGCCTGGAATCTTCACTCTCTTCAGGCCTTCAGGTTACAGGGTCTCAGACCTGGGGCCCAGGGCACTCCTTTTGGAATCCAGACAGCTCAGAACATTAAGAAGTTTCCTGGTCACATCCAGATCCAATGTTAGGAGGTGCCCAGCTCCACAGAGAACCTTACTGTTCTGAGTGCCTACTGTAGGCTCAGCTAGTGTATAAACTGGGCTACCCTTCCTTCTCCCTCCCCCACTGTGGCCCCTGAGGGTGCCTAAGCCCCTCAAGGCCACCAGATCCAGAGGCTGGAGCAGGGACGAACATAAGCAGCAATTCTAGGAGGCATCTGTTCCTTCAGGCTCCTCTTCACCTCTTCTTAGAGAGATCAAAGCCAAGAGCTCTTGCCCTTAACCCTGAGGAAGAGAGAGGAGGTGGTGACCCTGTCCCATGATTGTATTAGTAAAGTATTGAGATGTGTCATTATTATGTCATTTGATTTCTTCCCCATTTTCTCCTTTTCTCTTGCAATCACTATGAGCAAAGAAAATTTTCTTCCTTGTTCGGTAGAGGAAACTGAAGCTCTCAGGACTTAAACATTTGGTCCATGCCTCCTCTGTGAATTTTCTTCCTTGTTCGGTTTAAGTCCTCTCAGGACTTAAACATTTGGTCCATGCCTCCTCTGTGGCTGTGTCTTTCTCTATGTTACATGCACTCGGTACTACTGCCTTTACCTCAGGAATCTGGCCAAGACCCTGAAGTCAATCGTCCAGCGTGACGTCCCCATCTTCTCTTCCTCCCCCAGCCCATTTACCTTCTTTCTGATTGGGGTGGAGGAGAGCGGAGGAGGACTCTGGTCAGACCTCTTTCTTGCACCCCCTCTTAAAAAAGAAAGTAGTAATAACCATAAACAGGCATTGATAGCTCTGATTTATGGGGCTGGCTTAGTGAGCCGCCTGTGTATTTAAAGTCTGCGGCTGCATAGAAATAAATACTGGAGTGTGATAATCCAACTTCCTCATTTTCCACCTTCTTTTTTTTTTTTTTTTTAAAGATTGAATTGAACCATAAACTTAAATCTTTCTCAGCCCAGGAGAAAATACACACTAGCTGAGTCTAAACAGTATTGATCCCTGGCATCCCTGGCTCTTTATGAGGCCAAAGGTCTTTGTTTTTCTCTTGAAAACCCCTTTTCTTCGGTAGGGTCGGGGAGATGAGGCTGCAGGTGGGTGTGGAGAGGCTATTTAGGTGTGTGGGGCTGCTTTGTGTTTCTGTGTGAGCTTGTATGCGTGTGGGCATTTGTATAGGGGTGGTATTGAGTATATTTATTTGGGGTTGGGAGGTGGAAGTGTGTGTTTTGGGTGTGTGGCTGTTTGGTGTTTGTGGGTGTGTGTGCCCAGTTCTCTGGCCCCTTGGGCTGGGCTGCCCTGGGCATAGAGAAGGCGTGACCCACTAGACTGCCCCTACCTGGCCTCCACAGCCTTATCACCTGGGACAGGGTTTCCAGAGATGCTATCACCAGGAAGGTCACTGTGCTCCAGACCCCCTGTTCCCACTCCAATGCCCTCAGTAAAACAGGCCTAGCACAGGCCAAGGGTAAGCTTTGGCTGACTCCTAGAGGCCAAGGCCAATGCCAGGGTCAGAGAGGCCCTGTCAGACTCCTTGCCCTGGGAGAAGGAGTCTGCTGTGGCTTCTTGGGTGGCCATCAGTTCCTTCAACAGTCAACCTTGTTTTTTCTTTCCATACGGGGAACAGCCATTCCCCTGACGATACAGGCAGCCCCCATTCTCTCTTCCACCAGGTGCAGACCTGGGGAGGGGGAGCAGCGGGGAGGCCCGCAGCAGTTCTCCCTAGTTTTGTCTCATTTCCTAGGGCCCATCTACTCTGATGTCACCATAGGTTCACCTTAGAGATCATGTTTACTCCACCTGGGGGAGGGGCGGAGTATGGCTCCATCCTGGTCACCCCCACCACAGACCTGGGTCTCCTCTCTTACTTTGAGCTCAGGTGAGAGAGGTACTCTTGGTGCCGCTGGTGGAAAGGGGCAGGGCTGCTTTAGGCCAGTTGTTAAATGCACTCCCATTGTTGGAGAGGATCCTCAGGGATTCTTAAATAAAAAAGTTTTATTTTACTGGGGGTGGGGAGGAGGGGTGATCCTGAGAGGGAAAGTGCCTCACTCAAAAGTACACAGTAATTGTGGCTCAGTTGACCGGAGGTTGTCCCATACACCCAAAGGTGGAGGTTTTGAATCCCAGTAGGAGCACATACCCGGTTGCAGGTTCGATCCCTGATCCCTGGTCAGGGTGAGTACAGGATGTTTCTCTCTC